TCAATGTAAACTTTGTGTAGAGGTACTTTTATAACAGCTCCACCATAGGCTTCTAAGAATACATCTATCTTGCAATAGGTATCATCAGTTATGTGCAGTGCATCTTCTCTTAATAACATGAGATAACTGCCAGTGTCTCTAAAAGCAATTACTTCAGTTAGATGTGATTCGCCAAGTCCTACTTTGCCTCTCGATAAGTAAGGACTCATCACTGAACGAATCTTTTCGTTAGATACACTTTCTGATGCTAGTCATCTATTCTGAGTAATATTATCTAAAACAGTAGGATCAGAGGTATTACTAGGATTTTGGTGCCTTTGTTGCATGGAAGAGGATACGACTTGTGTGGGGACACCAGCCACACGACCGTCTCTGGTATCTCTTTCTAACTTATAGCAGTATTCTCTAGCAAGTCCTTTTCTGTTACAATAGGTACATTTTACTTTCTTCTTCTCGATATCAGACTTCTGTCTAGCCACAGAGACAGATTCAGGATTGTGAGTTTTCCTGGTAAAGGTACGAGAAGTTACAGTAGCAGGTACATCAGGCCGGTTGCCAACTTCTAGAACAATTTTTATAGTTACCTTGTTTCTCTGTGTTTTAGTACATACAAGTTTGTGAGAAATCTCATAATTGTCTGCTAATGCTGCAGTTTCCAAAAATATCCGAGGCGTATGATCAATCAGATATTCTTGTATGTCAGCAGACATACAGTTGTAAAACTCTTTGTGTAGTAACAACTGAACTAGACTGTCATAATTGTTACATTTAGCAGCTCTACACCACCTCTCAAATGCAACTTTTTTCCCTCACGAGCAAACTCTACACAAGTTTGATCTTGTCGTCGTTGTAACATACGAAATGCATGTTGATAACTTACGGGTAACAAGTTATATGTTTCTAGAATAGGGGGTCATAGCTAATGTACTTGGCAAATGGTAAAGCAGCAGTACAATTTTTGAGCTCTTCCTGTCAAAGCTGTGTGCAACAAGGTAGCCCAGTGTTTACGTGGGGCCAGTTCATAGCACGTGCCTGGTTCTCAAAACACATCAAAATAGGCGTCTAAGTCACTCTCAGAAAATTTAGGAACCAATGAGGCAGCTTCTGCACATTAAATGTGTCCTGTGTTGTACTAACAGGTTTATCAATTTTTATCAGATCTATCATCTGTTGTCTTCCCAGCGAACATTTTCTCTCTGGAAATTTTCTTTGTTCAATTTAAGCTGTACCTCTATTTGTGCATCTGCAATATATGAGGCATTCCAACCTCTCAAAACTGTTTCCTCAGAGATAGGACCAGTAGGTAATGGAGGAGTAAGGAATCTAACGAGTGGCCCGGGGGCGTGGTGGCTAAAGCTCCCGCTTCACACACGGGGGGCCCCCCCGGGTTCGATTCCCGGCGGGTGGAAACATTTCGACACATTTCCTTACACCTGTTGTCCTGTTCCCTAGCAGCAAATAGGTACCTGGGTGTTAGTCAACGGGGTGTGGTCGCATCCTGGGGGACAAGATTAAGGCCCCAATGGAAATAAGTTAGACAGTCCTCGATGACGCACTGACTTTCTTGGGTTATCCTGGTGGCTAACCCTCCAGGGATTAAAAATCCGAACGAAATCTTATTTTATCTATTTTAAAACGAATGAGTCGGATGTCCTAGGTCGGACACCTTGTCCAGCCATCCTTAGAGAGTCCAGATCTGGTCTGGATAAGTAGATACAGGTGAAGCATACACAGTACTAGTATGAGGCTGAGTCATACTACCAGCTACATTCAGTACTATTTTTGTTACTGGGGCGGGAAGGTGTGAACGAGTAAAGAATTACACTTGGCTCAGACACTTCTGCTGTAGTTGCTCTCACTTCTATGTCATCAAATAGAGTTTTTACAGTGGACCCCGAATATCGCCTTAATCCGTGCAAGAGGGCTGGTTGTTATGCGAAATTTTCTGTATGCGAATTAATTTTCCCCATAAGAAATAAGGGAAAATCAAATTAATCCGTGCAAGACACCCAAAGTATGAAAAAAATTTTTTTACCACATGAAATGTTAATTTTAATACACACAAACTGAAAAGGCATGCACAATTACATGACCTTACTTTTATTGAAGATCTGGTGATGATTGATGGGATGGGGGGAGGGGAGAGAGTGTGTTAGTGTTAGAAGGGGAAACCCCTTCCATTAAAAACTTGAGGTGTCGAGTCCTTTTCTGGGGTTACTTCCCTTCTTTTTAATGCCACTAGGACCAGCTTCAGAGTCACTGGACTCTTTCGCACAAAAAATATCTGTAGATAGTGGCCTGTACCTCTCGTTCCTTTATGACTTCCCTAAAGTGTTTCACAACATTGTCAGTGTACAGGTTGCCAACACTGCTTGCAATAGCTGTGTGAGGGTGATTTTCATCCCTGAAGGTTTGCACTTTAAGCCACTTTGCACAGATTTCCTTAATCTTTGTAGGGAGGCAACTTCTTCAATTTCTCCCTCCCCTCCTCTGAACCAGTTTCCTCCCCGGTCTGGCCTCTTGCTGTTGAAGTTGATTTTCCCGCTCATCAGTGGTTAGTTCTTCATTGGGCCTCCTCCACCAACTCTTCCACATCATCCCCCCTAACCTCCAACCCTAAGGACTTTCCCATGCCACAAATGGATTCCTCAACTGGCATAATTTCCCCTCAGGGGGTTAGCCTCAAACCCTTCTAAAATCCCTTTTGTCTAACACATTCTGGCCACAGTTTCTTCCAAGCAGAGTTCAAGGTCTTCTTTGTCACTCCCTCCCAAGCCTTACCTATAAGGTTTACAAAAATTGAGGATATTAAAGTGATCTCTCCAAAACTCTCTTTGAGTCAGTTGGGGTTTTCTGAGGTCACTACAAAGCACCTTTCAAACAGAGCATTTGTGTACAGTTTTTTGAAGTTTGCAAAAACTGCTGGTCCATGGCTGCAGGAGAGGAGTGGTATTAGGAGGCAAAAACTTGATGTTTAATGAATTTCATGTCCCATAAAGTCGCTCTGCCACGTCTGTAGGATGACCAGGGCATTGTCTAACACCAGGAGGCACTTAAGTTCTAATTTCTTTTCAGTTAGGTAATCTTTCACTTGGGGGGCCAAAC